CGGGGAACAACCCATCCAACTGGGAAATAGACCACTGCTCCTCGGGCTCCCCCCCCCGCGGGATGGCCTCCCCCCCCCTGCGGTGCTGTGGGTGGGGTGGTGCTGTGGGTGTGGCGTGTGTGGCGTGGTACTGTGGTGCTCCAGGAGAGCTCCGGAGGTCGTCGTCGTCAACGTCGCCGCTGTCGTCGTCGTCGGTGGCTCTGGAGGTCGGCGCCGCCGCCGCCGTCGTCGCCTGCATCGACGTTGTCGTCGTCGTCGTCATCGCCGTCGTCGCCGTCGCCGTCGTCTTCGTCGCCGTCGTCATCGTCATCGACGGCCCAAGTCCGCTCAAAATCGATGCCCAAACCTCTTCCAGGGGTCCTTCCTGGCTCGGAAGCTGGGCGAAGGCTGGCAAATCCGTGGTTGCTGAAATGTTCACCCTGGAAGAACAAACAAACTCCAAGAAACAAACTCAACGTACTAAATAGTCAGCAGGCTGCTTCCCGGAACGAAAAACTACAATTTCCCGGAGCTCCGTTTTAGCAGCCACGGGTTTACCAACCTCTGCCTAACTTCTGACTGGCCCGTTTCCCGATGCGGATCCAGCCGTGATGACGAGAAGCCTTCCCCGAAGACACAGAAAACTTCTCAGAAGGCGCGAGGGCTTCTGAGAAGACCCGCCGCCTTCTGAGAAGGTCTTCTCCTTCTCATTTCCCCCCCTCGCTCGCCGCCGATGAAAGGCATCCTGAGGCAGAACAACATACGTAAGGTTCGTGTCGTGCCGACTTCGGCGTTGGTTTCTGACACCGCGGGGATCGTTCACTCTTGAACGATCGGCCGTTTCCGAAACGTCCAGATCATTCCACATTGAACGATTCTGGGTCGCCCGCGGCGTTCAACGTTGAACGCCGCTGGCCGGGTCGCCGCCAGTCGACACGACACGAACCTACCGTACAGGAACCGACGAACAAGTCCGAAAGCCAAAATATTAAGCAACCGCATGTGAATCCAGCCCCCCTGCAGGTCAGATGTCTGAAACATCGCATGGGGTTCAGACGCCGAAGGATGTCTGCAGCCGGGTAAGCCCCAGCGGAGGCGTCCGATGCCCCAGCGCCGATGGGACCCGCAGGGGTAAGGCTCGCAGCTGGTCGCTCGAAGACCCCCTCCCCGAAGCGCTGGGATCGAAGACGGCACTCCGCCCCGAAGGCTTCGTCCCAGAGCGCCGCACGCCGCACAGCCCCTTCCTTGGAGGCCGCGCCCTCGAATCAGAGGGGGGGCGCGGGGGGAGGATCGGCAGTATTCGTGGAGGCCTCCCAGATGGGGTCAGAGTACATATGGGGTCGGAGGATCACCCCGCGTCGCCGATGTGTCACCGATGCATCGGCGATGCATCGGCGACGTCGGTGATACATCGACGACGTCGGCGTGGAGGACATTGGATTCCACATCGAACTGCATCGCCGATGCATCGGCGACGCGGCGCGATCCTCGGACCCCATCTACTCGGAGCCCATCTGGGAGGCCTAGAATATCCACAATATCAGAGTGAGGGTGCCCGCATGGTCATACTTCATCCCTGAGCGTGCGTCGCCGTTGTGGACCCATTTTTGCTCGACGGGGGGTCCTGGACGTGCACAGTTTCCCCCTTGGCCGTAGGCGACCCGAGGAGGAGGAGGATGAGAAGGAGGAGGTGGAGCAGGGGGAGGGGGAGGAGGATAAGGAGGAGGGGGAGGGGGAGGGGGAGGAGGAGGAGGAGGAGGAGGAGGAGGAGGAGGAGGAGGAGGAGGAGGAGGAGGGAGGACGAGGAGGAGGAGGACGAGGAGGAGGAGGACGAGGAGGAGGAGGAAGAGGAGGAGGAGGACGGGTCTTCTAAGCCCTTCGGAGAAACCCTCCACCTGGGCGGGGGGTTCTGGGCTGGGGGTCCTGGGCGAGGGGTCCAAAGCGAGAAGTTACGACGAGAGCGCTGCCGCATCCCTACTTTCATCCGCAGATGCGGGGTGCTATGGCAGATAATTACATCGGCGGTATGCCCACGACGGAAACGGACCCAAGACACACATACACATACACATACACATACACATACACATACACATACACATACACACATACACATACATACACACACACACGCACGCACGCACGCACGCACGCACACGCACGCACACACACAGAGACACACAGACACGTAGACACACAGACACACAGACACACACACACGCACACACACACGCACACACGCACACACGCACACACGCACACACGCACACACGCACACACGCACACACGCACACGCGCACACGCACACACACAGAGACACAGACACAAGAGACACAGACACAAGAGACACAGACACAAGAGACACAGACACAGACACAGACACAGACACAGCAAGACACAGCAAGACACTCAGACACACACGCACACACACACACACACCACATACCTGAGATCCGACGTCGCCGTGAAAAATCACGACCCACTCTTTCTGCGCCCGCTCTCGAGCTGGATCGATGCGTGGTGGCCCCGGGGCCCGAAAACTGGCCCCCACGCCAGGACCCCAGGGCCGCCCGACGTCCGAGCCCCGGAGGCGCCGCCCCTCCGCGCCCGCGCGGCGCGGCGGCGCCGCCCGCGCCCGCGCGCGGGGGAGCGGCCATTCCCGGGCGCGCGCGCAGGGGGTGCCGCGCGGGCGGCCGGGAGCCACTGGGCCGGCGGGGCCAGAGTGGGGCGCGTGTGGCGCGGAGGAGCACTTCCTAGCAGGGAGGAGGGGTGGAGGGGGACTCCTTCTCGTCCTCCTCGTCCTCCTCGTCCTCCTCGACCTCGTCCTCGTCCTCCTCCTCCTCCTCCTCCTGACCCTCCTCCTCCTCCTCCTCCTGCTGCTCCTGACCCTCCTCCTCCTCCTCCTCCTCCTCCCTCCTCCTCCTCCTCCTGCCCCTCCTCCTCCTCCTCCTCCTCCTCCTCGTCCTCCTCCTCCTCGTCCTCCTCCTCCTCCTCCTCCTCCTCCTCCCCCTCCTCCTCCTTCCTGGACGAGGAGGAGACAGACGGGCGGCACGCAGAGCAGGACGGAGGTCGAGGAGAACGTGGAGGAGGAGCCCCCTGCCGCGGAGGAGAGCCGCACGCTCCTGCCGCCAGGAGTGCCGCGGCCGGGGCAACGGCCGGGCACAGCAAGCTCCAGCAGGTGGCGGGGAGGCGGCGTCCCCCGCCGCGCGCCCCCCCCCCCCCCCCCCGAGGCTTAGGTCGGGCATGTCCTCCTACAAGCGGGTTTGGGAAGGAGCATTAAACATAGTCGGAGAATGCTCAAACAAATCAAAAACAATAATCAAACGAGATCGTCCACTGACTATGCCATGACTATCTTTGAAATTTCCTCCCGTAGAGGGACGTGCCCGACTTAACCCGAGGCCCCAGGATGGCCCCAAGATGGCCCCAAGAGGCCCCCAAGAGGCCCCCAGGAGGCCCCCAAGAGACCCCCAAGAGGCCCCAAGAGACCCCCCAGAGGCACCCAAGATGCTCCAAGCGGCCTCGGCGAGAATGCCAAAACGGCCTCGGCGAGGTAACCAAAATCATTGGTGTTACTAGGGTTTTGGCCCCATTTTGGCCTCCTGGGGGGGGGGGGCTCATTAATACTCCCCTCTTGTTTGATCGATCTCCTCCAAGATGGCCCCAAGAAGCGCCCAGGAGGTCCCAAGAGGTCCCAGAATGGCCCCAAGATGGCCCCAAGAGGCCCCCAAGAGTCCCCCAGGAGGCCCCCAAGAGACCCCCAAGAGGCCCCAAGAGACCCCCCAGAGGCACCCAAGATGCTCCAAGAGGCCTCGGCGAGAATGCCAAAACGGCCTCGGCGAGGTAACGAAAATCATGTGTTACTAGGGTTTTGGCCCCGTTTTGGCCTCCTGGGGGGGGGGGGGACGCTAATTCATGCTCCCCTCTTGTTTGATCGACCTCCTCGAAGATGGCCCTAAAAAGCGCCCAGGAGGCCCCAAGAGGTCCCAAGATGGCCTCAAGATGGCCCCAAGAGGCCCCCAAGAGGCCCCCAGGAGGCCCCCAAGAGACCCCCAAGGACCCCCAAAGACCCCCCAGAGGCACCCAAGATGCTCCAAGAGGCCTCGGCGAGAATGCCAAATCATTGATTTCACGAAGGTTTTAGCCAGATGTTGGCCTCTAGGGGGGAGCACTGATTAAGATGACTTCAAGAGCGCCTGGGAGAGCCCAAGATGACCTCCAAGATGGCTCAAGATATCCCAAGATGTCTCAGAATGTCTTCCTCTGTGTGCTGCCAACTTCCCTGGTCCAGACAATTCCTCTGGGCATCGTTTATCGATGGGCTGGTGAAGATTCGCGAAGCGTCAACAAGTCTTTCTGGTGATTCAGGCTAAAGTAGTTTGGAACATCACAGACCAAGCGGGTCAAAACAACAACTTATACAATTACGGTCAACACCATAGTTATGTTTCTCGTCCGGGTCGCTGGCTGCGGCGGCCTGGCGGCCTGGATTGCGACAGCGACAACGACGAGCTTGAAATCATGTTCCAGGCGTCTGCTTCCGAGTGGGGCGCTGCGATCCACTCCCCACTTTTGGGGCGTCTCCTAACCGCTCGGTCGCCTGGAAGGGAACAAGGCAAACGGCGATGATCTGAGCAGGCGTACGAGAGAGCGTCGGACAATGGACTCGAGCGTCTCGGCAAGGGATGGGTGGGGGAGGAGGAGGAGGAGGAGGAGGAGGAGGGACCCCCCACACACCCCTGGGCGGGTGGGAGCTCCTGCGGGAAAAGCTCCTCCCTAAGCTCCCCCTTTCGGGGCAACTTAAGCAGCCCCCCGCCGAATTGGCAAGGGAAAGACTTGGCCAGGCTGACCTTGGCTAGTTGACCTCGGCCAGGCTGCACTCGACCCGGGCAGACTTCAGCTTGGCCGAGCTCAGCCTGGCCAAGATGAGCAGGCCGAGTTCGGCATGGCCGAGTTCAGCTGGCCGAGTTCAGCCTGGCCGAATTTTGTCTGTCCGGTTTCACTTGCTGCCCATCTATATCCCCGCCCACTCCGCAACTCCTGGCATCTGTCGGGAGCCGCGCGGCCTTTTCGGAGCGCTGGCGCGCGACGAGGTAGTCGCAGCGCGGGCTGCCCGCCAAGCCAGAGGCCAGGAGGCAGAACATACATGCTCTGTGGTCAGAGCGCGGGCGCTGGCAGGAAGTGGAGGCAGAGCAGGCGTCGATCCTCCCATTCCCCCGTGATGCTCCTGCTCCTCCCCATGCCTCCTTCTCCTTCTCCTCCCTCCTCTTCTTCCTCTCCTCTATCCCTCCCCCGTGGTGCTCTTCATTCTCCCTCCTCCGTCCTCCGTCGTCCTCCCCGCCCACTCCTCTTGCCGTGAGGGCAGCGTGTCCTCGAGGAAGCACCCCGACTATCCAAGCCCGACCTCTCATCCCTATATTCGTCTGTCGAAAGCCCGAGGAGGAGGGGGAGGAACAGGAGGGGAAGGAGGGGGTGGAGGAGGGGGAGGAGGAGGAAGAGGAGGAGGAGGAGGAGGAGGAGGAGGAGGAGGAGGAGGAGGAGGAGGAGGAGGAGGAGGAAGGGGCGGACGGAGGAGGAGGAGGAGGAGGAGGGGGGCCCGCGGAGGGGCCCAGGGTGGGTGCGAAGACGTGGCGAGGAACCTCCCAAGACACCACCGCCTCCTCCAGGACCGTCTTCCCCTCGTGGCGATCCTGCTTCTCCTCCTCCTCCTCCTCTTCCTCCTCCTCCTCCTCCTCCTGGAAAGGAAGAAGCGGGCGGGCCTCTCGGAGGGTTTTGACGAGGAAGAGGAGGAGAGGTAGGTATTGTTGATGTTTGATGCATGGTTTACTTGGTTTGCAGATTCAGCAGGGGGCGGCGTTGGTCCGTTCCCGAGATGCTTCTACGATGCTGCAAACGAGCAGCCTTTCTAGGTCCCTCCTTATATGCCCCCGCAAGCAGTCCCTTTCACCGCGGGCAGTGCCCCCAAATCAGGCGAGAGTGTCATGGCCATGCAATCCAGGCGAGAGCACCACTTTGAGCAAAAACTGTCATCCGTGCTTCCGTCTGATAAAATAGCGGCGGCATCGAGTACGAACACAGAGCGCAAAGAAACGTCCAACGAGACGTCCGTTCTGAAAATGAACCTCAATTCGTGCACTCTCCAAGACGTTCCATGCCGTGGAGGCCGGTCCACAGAAAACCTGTCACGAGAAACCCAGCCTCGAGACCCCAGATCGCCCATGGATTTTTGGTGTGGGGACGTCGCGCCCTTCACCGCGAAATACCGCCGAAAGCCAAGACACCCAGGGCACCGTGGAGGCAAGCAGGGTGCTTCTTGGCATGGGTCTCCAATGTGCACCTGGGGAAACCAAAAGGTACCGATACTGCTACTCCCCGGACCTCCCCGGGGTGCGGCCTGACCAGAACCTCGAAGCGAATCCAGCGGTGGCGACGAGGGCCTCCCAGGAGGCCCAGAAAGGAGAAAACGAGGGAAGGGTAGAGGTTATGGGTACCTTTTCCTCCTCGGTGCTCCTGGCGGCAGCAGCCGAAGCCGCGTCAGCCCTGGCCCCCGCCCTGGAAAAAAACAGGCGGGGAGCCGCCCGCCGCCCGTGCAGCGGCTGCACAAGTCAACGGGACGCACAGGGGCGTACTAATACAATGTGTCGTCATTGGAGGCGCGCGTCCGACCCGAACTTGTTTGGTCTGCGGGTCGAGAACGAACCACTTCCGGTTAAAAGCTAGGCGGGCTACGCAAGGCTCTAACTGGGGAGACAGAGCACAGGCGGGCGGGGCCTCGCGTCCGACCCGAACAGATCGCATACCCATCTTGTGGTACATCGTTTCCCGAGCGGTGTGGCCAGAACGCGCTCGCCACGACGCGCATACTACAAGATTGCTCGGTGCGCGCGTCGCTTGTTTTGGGGCGACGCAAATGTACTATAAGTGCGTCGGGGTGACGCCGACTCAAGCCTCGGACCGATCGGGTTGAGGACGCGCGTGCCACACTTTTTTACCAGCCGAAGAGGGGTGCGCCCCGTGGCGACTTAAGGGTAAAGGGGGAAAGCAAAAGGGGGAGGGAGGGGAAAAAGAGGAGAAGGCAGCAGCAAAAGCAGCAGTGCTCAGCCGGGCTGCGGCTTTGCGCGGCCCGGCGCCGCGCGGCTAGTCTGCGGCTCCCAGCATCTCGGCCAGCTCTAGGAGCTCCGCCGCAGCCAAGCGCGCCACCTGCCGCGCCACCCGGCCGCAGGCCGCGGGCAGGCGCCGGCCCTCGGTCAGGCAGAGGTGGCGCGCGGCGACCCTGACAGGCGTCCAGCCGCGCTGGAAGGTGGCGCACGCCGCCTCGCGCAGCTCCTCGGCAGCCTCCGCGGCCGCCGCGTCCGCGGCCGCAGCCAAGGCCACCGCCTGAGCGGCCTCCGCCGCGCGGTCCGCCGCCGCCGCGCGCGCTGCCGCCGTGGCGCCAGGGGCGGGTCTGGCGGCGGCGCCTCCAGCAGCCCGCGCGCCCCCCGCGGGCAGGGTCGCCGCCTGCAGGGCGTCGAGCCTAGCGGTTTCTTCCTCCTCCGCCGCTAGGTCAGCCCAGAGCCGCCGCTTCACAGGCTCTGCTCCCGGCGCTACCGCCCCTGGCGGTGCCGCCGGCGGAGCCCCCGCTCCCGGCGCTGCCGCCGCAAGCGGAGCAGCCGTCGGGGCCCCCGCTCCCGGCGCTGCCGCCGCAGGCGGAGCAGCCGTCGGAGCCCCCGCTCCTGGCGCCGCCGCCGCAGGCGGAGCGGCCGGCGGAGCCTCTGCTGCGGAGTCCGTCCGGCCCCGCGCCCGCGGCGGGGTAGCGACGGCGGCGGCCGCAGCCGCGCGCCTCTCCGCCTGCTCCCCGGCCACCGGCCCCGCGGAGCTCGCCTCGTCCCGCGGGGTGGCCGGGGCAAGGGGGCCCAGTACTGGGCTCCCAGTACTGGGCGCGGCTCGCAGGCCAGCCGCGTCCGGCTGGCCTGCGAGCCGCACCCAGTTGAGCCCGTCATACTCGAGCTCGATAGGGTGCTCGCCTGCGTCTAGCGGGAGCGCCGGCGGCCCTCGAAGCGGAGGAGGCCAGCAGCCACCGCCTCGGCCAGGACGCCCTCCGCGGCCCCCTCGGCCGCGAAGCCCCGGCCGCTCGCCTGGAGCGCCGCCGCTACCGCCTCCGCGGGGGGCGCCGCCTGCGGGTCCCTCGGGCCCGTCGCCCGCGGTGCGGCGTCCGCGCCGTCGTCCGCCGCGGTGGCCGCGCCGCCGCCTGGCCCTGCTCCCGGCGCTGCCGCTGCCAGCGGAGCTGCCGTCGGAGCCCCAGCTCCCGGCGCTGCCGCCGCAGTCGGAGCTGCCTTCGGGGCCCCTGCTCCTGGCGCTGCCGCCGTGGGCGGAGCTGCCCTCGGAGCCCCTGTTCCTAGCGCTGCCGCCCTGGGCGGAGCCTCCGCGGGAGCCCGCGGCGCCGCCCCCAGGGAGCCGCTCTCGGAGCCGCTGGAGCTGCTGCCACTGCTGGCCGGGGCAGCCGTCGCCGCCGCCGCCGCCGCCGCGCCTGGCCCTGCGAGAAGCGTCCCTTCCGCGGGGACTGCCTGCGCGCGGCCTCGGATTCGGCCGGGCGCCCGCGCGGGAGAGCTGGAGTCGCCGCTGCGGGAGCGCTGGCCCGGGGGGCTCGCTCGCGGCTCGTCGCCGCCCGCCGCGGAGCAGCGCGTGTCGGCTGCCTCGGCGGGCTCGGGTGCGCCCGTCTTGCTCACGGGGGCTGGGGAGCGGCCGCGCGTGTGGCTGCTCCGGCGCCGCACCCGCCGGCGGGCAGCCCGCTTGCTCGGGCTGCGCTCCCGGCGCGAGCCCCGGCGTCGGCGCCGCGGCGCCCGGGCGCTGGGGCTGCTGCTCGAGCGCACCCTGCGCCGGCGCAAGCGGCGCCCAGTAGCCTTCGCTGCCGGCCCCTTTGCCACCCTGCGGGCTGCCGGCGCGCGCGGGCGCCTCGGCGCGGCATGACCCAGGGGGCGCCGTCGCTGGCACCTCCCGCCCGCGCACAAGCGCCTTCCCCCGCCGGGGGAGGTCACCAGGGCCGGCCGCAGCGTCGCCGCCCTCGGCACCGTCACCGGCGCTCCTTCCGCGGGAGCTCCTGGCGCCCGGCCGGGCCTTCGCCAGAGGGAGGGTGCGGGGTTTTCCTCCACGGGGCCCGCGCCCTCACCCACGGGGCCCGCATCGGCGCTGCCGAGGGGGCCCTCGGTGCTGCCGCCTGCGGCCCAGCAGCCGGGTGCCAAGGGCACTCCCCCACACGCTCCCGGCGCGACCGGGGCTGCGTGGACCCTCCATCCCCAGCCCGCGGAGAGGCAGGGCACAGCCACGTGCACGTCTGCCCGCCCGGCTGCCACGCGACGGCATGGCTGCCCGGTTGCATGCGCCGCCCCGCGGCGCCCGCAGCCCAGCCAAAACAGCAGGTGGGACCTCGAGCCCACGGCCGCGGCAAGCTCCCATCCCCCCCCACGGGGGTTGGGAACTTGAGCCAAAATGGTCACGGTGGACGCACGTGCCACACAATTGTTTCGTCGGCGGCGAGGCAGGATGGCTGAACCAGCGATAGAGCGCAACGGGGGCACCGAGGAGCGCATTGGCCAGCGTGCAGGGAAGAGGGAAGAAGACGGGCAGGGCGGCTGTGGAGGAGCAAGAAGGAGGGGGCACTCAGAGGCGGATGAGTTCCGACCTGAGCGCGCTGGCGCGTACGCTCCACACAAACAAGACAGGCTGAAAAACGATATACGGCAGGAGCAGACACCTCCCACAAGAGGCCCGAACCCAGACAGCACAGGCTGTCCATTGACTTTTGGCGTGGGAGCGCCACGCCTTCCACAACGAAGCCGTCGAAACCCAGGCAACCCGAGCCGTGGCAACCCAAGCAAGCAAGGCGCTTCTTGGCAAGGGGTGCCCACTTTGCCCTCCCTCCGTGCGGATGCCGTGTGCGCTTCGATCACGCGGGCCCGCGCCGCGGCGAACACCACCATTCGGGCACGATGCCCCTCTGCACCCGTGTGCCGCGCAGCCGTGATCACACGTTGGGGCCGCCCCCCATCCACCCGTGCAACCGGCTGCTGCAGGAACTGGAAGACGACCGTGCGTGGCGCGAGAATGGCAAGGGTATCGCGCTGCCGAGGAGCCGCCCAGCATCTTGGCGCAAGGATCTGGGGCGAGAGTGGTGGCGCGAATGGCAAGAGCAACGCTCTGAAGCAAAGCCGCCCTCCATCCTGGCGCAGGCATTTGAAGCGAGCGCGCGCGGCGCGAAGGCGCGAACCCCTCATGGAAAACCACCGCCCCTTAACCCAGCATTGGTTGCAAGCTACAGCGGCGAATCTGCGTCTCCCAGGGTGGGGCGCAAGTGCAAGGCTGGCGTGATTATCGCGCCTCGCATGCTTGCGGATAATGGTTTCCGACCAGCTGCGTCGTCACCTGGGGGCTGGCTGACGGGTCGGACCATCCCTATGTTGGGGCCCAGCCTCTCCAAGCAGCGAGGCCTGGACTTGGGAATGGATCCGCGCTCCCGTCCGTGGCGCTCCGTCATCGGCGGCGGCGGCGGCGTCCTCTCCCGAGCCTCGGAGCAAATCGAGCGGGCAGGGCGAGGTCGAGCCTGAACCTGCGAATCCAGGCGCTTCAAACCCTGAAGCGAAGGCGTCTATATCACGGGTGTTTGATATGGGGCGGGTGGAGGGGCTCAAACACGCAGGCTTCCCACTAAGCACTGCAGGGCTGAGAGGATATACGAGCCCTTGGTCGGTGGCTTGCCAGGTTGCAATGCCCACCCCAGACCTCCGCCCAGTTTTGGGTGCCTCGCTTCTTGCTCGCCTCCAACTTTGGAATCGAGCTCGACATGGTTGCCCGCATACGTCGGCCGCAATCCTGACAAAAAGAATGGGGAGGGTAGCGCGTTACATGTCTAATTCAATGGTGCTGCGGCACACAAGCGCTCTCTGTTTGTCAATGAGCATTGGGCATCTGAAGGGGGGTCAAGTGATGGAGCGAGATACGTTCACGGGCTTCTCTTAACAGCAACGCAGGAGCACGGAGGCGCCGCACTCGCTTCCACTCTGGAGGCGCACGCCCAGTCGCAGTACGAGTGGAGTCCTAAGTCATTGCCTGTGCGTCGCTCCTCCATGTAGCCTCCTCGATGTGATAGCAAGGTAGAAGCACTCGGCTATATCATCATAGGTGCGTCGGCCCACACATGTCTTTCTCGGCACGAGGGCCCTTGCCCATTATCCCCTTTGCCTCCCCTAGTTTTGCATGGCGCTGGCCACCCCATGCCATCCCCACACCTTCCTCAAGGAGGTCTCTGGGATGTCGTCCTGTCCCCCGCAGACGTGGCCTCTGCACGGCCGCAGACGTGGCCGCTGCGCGTCCGTGCGCCATGTGTTCGTTTTGCCATGCCGCGCAGACTCGGCCCCGCGGCAGCAGGCAACGAATTCCCAAATGCACTCTGGCTGGAGAATTACCTTCTTCCTTCCGTCATATTTGTCCTCGTCTACTCCAACTCCCTGAACGGAGAATCGTTGTTTGAAGTCTCGCACCTCTCCTTGGAGGTCTCTTGGATTTTTCGGCGTCCCCCTGGACTTGACCTCAGCATGGCTATGCCTGTTTCAGGCCCCTATTGGATATCATTTGCGATGCTTGGCCCAAACATGCTGTTTCAGAATCAACCACCTGCCTAACTAGGAGGATGGGAAGGCAGGCCGTGACTCGAACGAAGGCGCGACGGTTTAAGCACTTCCTTCTATTCCATGTACTTTTCGGTCGTGAGCCCCAGTTGTGCCCCCCCCCCCCCCCAGTTGCCTCTCTCCTGTTGATTGCTTTTTATTTTTTTCTTGTCTCTCTCTCTCTCTGTCCTCCCCTTCTTCGACTCACGGGGCCTGAAAGGCCCTTCTCTGCTGCCTACCCAAGCATTTGTTGACGCAATCAGACTTCTGAGCGGGATAGGAAATGACAACACCAGTCAGCCGCCTATTGTCAGAGGATAGCCCCAGCGTGGCCTCTAAGAATTGGCACGTGCACGTCTCGGCGTCAGCTGCCGCCCCTGGCTTTTGGCGATTGTCTTATATCGCCATGACCTCCTCCACCTTTTTTCCTGTATAGTTATCTCTTTTCCCCCTTCCCTTCATTGGCCTCCGCAAGCGAGGACGTACACGCGCAACCGTGCCCCGGTAACCAGTGGTGCGTGGCACCTTTTCCATGCTGCCTTTAGCGAAATTACGGCGTGCAAGTGTTGCATCACCAGGAAGAGTCCGACAAATGCCCCCTCTCGCGCGGTCGGACCGCTTCGACGGGACCAGCTTTCGGCGGTGGACAAAACTTCCTTTAGTAAACCTCCCCTTAGTGAAAACGGCCTGGGACCGAAACCGACGGACCTGGACCCTCAAACATGACGGCTACGACGCCCTCTCGCGAACCGAAAAAGGCCAATTCGCTAATCGACGTGTCAGGGTAGAAGGTCTGTCCACCCCAGAGGCATTTCATCCTGAGTCGTTTCTCTGACGGCCCTGGGGCCCAGCGAAGGCGTCCGGGATCCCGCGTCGTGGCGCTTTCCCGCAACATCCGAACCCGTGTTCGATGGCCCCAGGGCCCCATGGCGGGCCCCATGGGCCCGAACTGGGGAAAACCCTCAGATTTAACAGTCATCTTGTCAGAGATCTGGGCTCGCAGGCTTGCGGGCCATTGCTCGGGACTCAAGCTGACCGCTGACCGTTCGGGACGAGCCGGGCCCCCCCCGGCTCTTCTCGTCGAGGCGCAGCTGCGGGAGAGCGTCCCGAGGCTGGGAGACCTCCTAGAAGCACCGAGGAAGTCCGCCAACGTTCGTTATGACCTGCCTCGCGCCGCCTGGATCCCAGAAGACCACCGCTGGTGGTCCGACCGTACAACAAACAAAACATCCAGAAACCGTTGCTTCCCCCCCTCCCTACAGTCATCGGCCTGACGTAAGGAACGATGAATAAGGAACGACCCCCCTTTTCCAAGGAGTAACGCATAAGGAACGATAAATAATACATTACTCATAAGGAATGAGAAATAGCGCATGCAAGCCTGAGGAACGACAGAGCCCCTTGTGAAAAAAAAGTGTCCCTTATTCAAGCCGCTCACTGAGCCGCATCAGACGCTCCATCGATCCCCACGCCAACATCGCTTGGTGGTGTGCTGTGACAGCACTGGCGGAGGGGCCTGAGCATCTGAGGCCAACCCGTAAATATGCCACGAAGCAGAACTTCGCTGGGCACACGCCGTCACGGTCTGGACGGCCAGCGCTCACCCACCCGGCGAAGACCGGTTCACTCAACATGGTCCCCCTGGGTCCGCCGCGGGGCGACACCAAGGCACCAACGCGAGGGGGCGGTGGGAAGGGGGAGGAGGAGGGAAGAGGAGAGCAACCCAGCCCGCGGATGCGTAGACCGGCCAGGGCACAACCCTGGAAACCTCCGGCCCCAGACGTCCGCCGGTGTGCTTCCGCCAGGGGCCTCGACCGCTTCCCTGGGGGCCAGCCTCGCCAGGGATCTGCACGGCCCGGTGATTAGCCAAAAAGGACCCCTCACCCTTTGGGAGGGGACCCAAGTCAGGAAGACCAACAACAATTAGGGACATAGGGGTCCTTTTGCTGCAGATGTGTCAGACCAGACCGCCCGAAATGCGGAGACGGGGACCTCAGTGAGGCCACGTCTTCATCCAGGGCTGGACCTGAACGCTGTTCTTCGTTTCGTTTTCGTTTTGTCCCACCCGTTGTCCTGTACCTCCCTGCCGAAACGAAACACGAAGGACGGCCGAAGTCCAGCAGAACAGCGTTCAGGTCCAGCCCTGTCTTCATCGTGTTGTCAGGGCCAGGGGCTCTTGTGAGCTCGATGACCCAGGGGCCCGGCCGCGGGCCCCAGGAGGCCGAAGTCGAGAAGCAAACGCCCGGATCCACACAGGGCTGGGCC